TGAGGATAACAACTCGAGCTAAGAGAAAGTTTTAAAGCGTGTCCACCTGACAACCATGCAGACGAGTCTACACGACCCCGCACCGATTTCGCTCAAATTTGGCTCACTTGTTTCCCAAAATGAACCTACAATCGAGACTAAACGGCTTATCCAGATACTAATTTTCAAAACAGCCAGACAAGTTTTAAGTTTTTGGTAAAAATGCACAAAAATCTGTGCAAAAATGCAGTGAATTCATGATGTGGGTATGTATCCAAAATCTCAAGCCAACAAAAATATTGCGCTATAGTTAAAATTAGAAACCTAAATCTTTATGTGCGGAACATTAAAATATATGATTGACCTGTTTTTATATTTGTGAGCTATCAATATCAAGCTTAACGATTTTCACCATTTTGCGAAATAACGGAGAATCCTCCTAAAATAGCTGGAAAAAGTGACAAATGGCCATGTTTTGATTTATTTCAATGCTTTTTCCAACTCGAACAATTGATGATCTAAGCGATTATAGAAATAGAAGTGGGTGATGTTTCCCTTTTTTTGATGAAGAATTTTCCCTTGAAAAACGTCAATCCGGCGTGCCTGGGAGGGTCACGTGACACGTTCCAGACCGTACTACAGAGTCCGTCACGCAAGGAAAACTTCGAGAAGATCTTTAGTAGTATTTTGAAAAATCATTTTCATACTTCACTCCAGTTTTATCTTATCTAAAAATCATATGGGAAGCCCAACCGCTTTTTATTTTATTTTTTTTATTGCACCTCAACTTTAATTTTAGGCCTTTTATACTGTCTCTGTTATAGATGAAAAAGTAAGAAAAGTACTTATTTGTTTCAAATAAAAGCAAAGTAATGATCAAGTATATCGAAAGTACAAATTCAATATATTTAGACTATTTTTCTTTTCCGAAGACATTATTTTGGTAACGCACTGAGAGAATTGTTTGAGACGCACCAGACACCGACGTTTCCCACGCTTGCCATGCATAACCATCCCAGCAGACATTTCGTAAAGATGGGCCATTTTAAATGTATTTGTTCTTTTCAGCAATATTCTAAGAAAGAATGTAACCTTTCTGCTGGAAATAGGACCGCTAAATCTATTTTTATTGTGAATAATTGTTCTAGTAGTACAAAAGAGCACTTGTATTATTGCCTTCCGGGAAGGAGTCGAGGACGACGGTAGATTATGTTTGGCCCACGTTGGATTGTTTGACGAGTGCGGAGAACTCGCAATTTGTCCCGAGCACAGCAACGAATTTGGCTTGGGATGGCGGCCAAGTAATGTTTGTAAATATCTGGAGCATCAGAGCAAACAGAAACCGTACAGAGGGATAACTAGTGAGATGTCGAGAAAAATATCTTTACACTTCGGTGTACTTTGCGAGACTGGACAAGGTAACTCATTGTAATAATGTTGTGCTGGAATACCGGCTACATTTTATAACGAACATAGCACGAGTTAAAATAGTATTATTGTTTTGGTTTTCTGGGGATATGTAGAAATGTTTATCTAATTACAGCGAGACAGTGCGCTGCTCCGAGGACACAACTAGTGATAAACAGGTACAACACTGTGAAATTAAAATATTAGTGCTTTTCTAGACCGGTAGTGATCCCAATAAATTTAGCTTTAGGCTTTTATGCAACAATAAGGCAACATTTCACAGAAGGTTTTCATTTCGAGAAGTCCTAGCGGCGAGTGCCAGTCGAATGTACACTATACTCTATTTGCAAGTGGGGCGAGGGAATGAAAAATTTCGAAATCAATTGTTTGCAAAACCGTAAATACTGAAATGAGTTATTTGCAAGCGCAAAGAACCGAAATAAATTTTACACAGTCCTCCCCCCCCCAAAAAAAAAATTGTTTGCTGCTGCAAAAAGGAAATAAGTTGTTTGTATGCAAAACAATTTTTGTCTCTCCAGCCGGCCTTAAGAGAAGTAATGGTCCGTCCCTAACAGTCTACATTTATGCGCTCAAAGCATGGATATTATGGTTACAAGAAAAGAAATGATCGTTGAAACCTTTTAGATACCCGAAGAAGGTGAAAGGTGAAGGATAATAATTTGACTGTGTTCCCACGACACACCCTATTTTCAAACTGAATGTAGAAATTTCATTTTGATGGGGGACTCCTACTGCCGAGTGTTCTGAAAAACACCAGGAAGAGGACATATCCCTGAAGAGATCCACAAGAGTACAAGTGAGTATTTTAACTGCTGCACCTGCAACAATAAATTGATTATGTACCACCGCCTAGATAAATATAAAACAATTTAAAAACACGTGAACATCAACAGTGTCGAAGCGCGCAAAGCATTACGGATGTACTTTTTATGAAGGCTTGGTTGGAATAAAAGAGTACTTATTTCTGTCAAACTATCGGTAATTAAAAAATGTTCCTGCGTTGCGCGATTACATCCAATATTAGAATGACCAAAACAATGCCGGTTGTACATATTTGTAGTGTTGTAGGGCACCCGAATTTCTTCCCCAATAGTATAAGGGATGGTTCATTAGTCACCCCCAAAGTTTGGGGGTGATGGAGGGGGAAGCTGAAAACTTTTGAAAAGAATTGTTAACAGAGC